CTAATCTTGATATTACCAGCAACCTTCAACAGCAGGTTGAGACATTAGGTTTTGAATAAGATGCACAAGTTCCAGGCCAGACTCCCTCGGCTATTTCTCACAAGCTTGGATGCTGAATTTACTATCCTGGGCTTCCCCCCTCTCATTTATAAAATATAAAAGTAATAATGGAGCTTGTTGAAATATATTTGCTTTGAAATATTTTTTTAGCTTTGCATTTTTATGAAACTTGCATGAAACTGCTTGAAATAGTCTGGGCTTGGGGACAAAGCATCTTTGATTCAAAACACAGCTTCCTAAAGCCACAGCTCTGTTTTCTCTTCGCAGTCCCGACTATTGTTGCAGACTTGAGTCTGAGAAGGTGCTGCAGAGACATTCTGTCCTGGGTGGTGTCTGGGCGGGGCCCCAGTGGTGTGGGCGGGGCCTTGACGGTGTGGGTGGGGACTTGACAGTTGTGGGTGTGTCTTCTCCACAGGTGCTGCGAGTGGCTGAGATGCTGTGGTGGAGGGGAGCCCAGGCCCCGGACGGTCTGGTTGGGGCACCCGGAGAAGAGGGACCAGAGGTACCCTCGAAATGTCATCAACAACCAGAAGTACAACTTCTTCACCTTTCTTCCTGGGGTACGTAAGGGTGGGGCCCACACCCTTTTTGCATGCGGCAAAGATCTAGGTCCCTGTGTCGTTCCCCTGCCCCCTCGGCCCTGGCCGATCACCTTCCCTGGCCCTGAGCTCCTGGCTTGACTGCCTTCTGTCTACAAGCCTGCGGGAGGCACCTGACCAGAGAGAACAGCCTCATGTTTGTGCAAAGTCTTGAGCTAAAAATGAAAAACATCTTGAGGGGCTAGCATGACTCCCAAAGCACACCCCCACAACACCCCCCCTCAGCAGTGCTTAAAGGTCCCCCTTAGCATCACAAAATACATACTCAGCATAGGGGGGGTGTTGGTAGAAACAAATTTTTTTTTTTTTTTAAAGATTTATTTATTTATTATTTATACAAGCACTGGGTACAGTCAGAAGCGCGGGAGGGTGAGAGAATTCACCAGAGCGGGGAGCAGAGCAGGCAGAAGGACCGAAGTACACTGCTGAGGGGAGCAGCGGGCGGCAGGAGAGATCTGCGCGCCATGTGGGACCTCCTCTGGTGGCCGGGGAGCAGCCGGGGATCGAACCGGCGCTGCAGAGGCTGCGGGCAGCTTCGCAACCCAGTGCTCAACCGCTGCGCCACCAGGGAGGCCCGGTAGAAACAAATTTTAAAAAGAAAAATTTTCAACCCTATCTTCCAGGGAGGACTTGTGTAACATTTTTGCTCTTGAATGTTTCTGTTTTGCCGAGTATCTTCTTCTGTTAAAGTTTTACTGCATTCACCTGTACAACCTCGGATGAGTGCTCTGCGCACCTGGGAACCACATAAATACCCTCCGGGCGCACTTTAGAAGCCATAGCAGCTCCTGGTTTCACTGCTGGGAGGGAAAAAAGTGCTTGTTAGACTTGTTAAGGGGTGATGTGAGGCCCCAGTGCATTACACTGTTGCAGAGGGTCAGCCTCAGTGTTTTCTTCTGGGTGATTTTGACTATGTTCGCTGTGAGCTGCTTCAGCCCCAGCCCCGCCCCTACTCCAAAAACCCCCTTGTAGGGGCAGGAACGACACAGCGCAGGTTTTCTGATCCAGCAGACCGGGTAAAGGAGGGGTCAGGGTCCTGGAGCCCTCAGTAGCTTTTGCAGGCTTTTATTGGAATTTACTGGGTATACAGCAGGCAAGTAATTTATCTTGACTTTTTTATTTACTGGGTATACAGCAGGCCTGCTGGGTATACAGCAGGCTGGCAGGCCTCCCAGCCCCCAGCAAGTCTTCACTCTGGGCTCTCCGGCCGTCTCTCACGTTCTCTCCGCTCTTCTCATGGCTCTGCTTCTCTCCCGGCTTCTCTGCTCCTCTCTCGGCTTCTGCTGGCATCCCCATGACGCCACCCTTATAAACTCTGTCTCTCAGCCCAAGTGTACCCACTCCAAGTGCCCGCCATCAGGCATGCATTTGGGACCACAGGGTTCCCTCATCTGTCCTAATGGCGGGAGGGCAGAAAAGCCTGATACTTTTTCCTTACCCTACACCCCAAATCTCCGTGTCTTAAGTTTATTTCCCAGTCACGGAAACTCTGACGCAGACCAGGCACTATCCTCCACGTCACAGCAATGCCATCTACACCCTCAGGAACACCCAGCCCCATAGCCGCAGCCAGGGGGATGCGCTGTTTCTGCTCGTTGCCGGGTGGCCAAATGACATCCGCATCTTGGTCTCCCTCCAGGCACGGGGTGGGGGGCTGCTGCACTGCCGGCAACCACCTGCCACCCAGGGCAGGATCCTGCTGCACCTGTTTATGGTGCTGAGCTCCTCGCGTGGAGATAGTAATTTATCTTGACTTTTTTATTCAGTCTTACAGCAAAACATTTCCCAGTAAGACCCCTCCTTAAGCAGCATTTTGAGTGGCCTACCTGTCCTTTCACAAAACAGATGGTTTGCGACATGGAACAAGTATGGCCGGCGTCCTTGGCCTGTCCTCCCCGCCCCGGAGTGCTCCTGAGTTTGCACTTGGCGTCTTTGCACTTTGTAATTCCACACATATCAGTGTTCACTGTTTTCCCTCTATAATAGTTTTTTTTTTTTTTAAAAAGATTTATTTATTTATGCATACAAGAGCTGGGGTACAGGCCAGAGATGTGGGGGGGGGTGTGTGAGAGGATTCACCAGAGACAGAGTGGGGAGCAGAACAAGCAGGCTGACTGAAATACACTGCTGAGGGGAGCAGCGGGTGAGGCAGGGGAGGTCATGTGGGGTTCTCCCTGGCCCGCCTGGGATCAAACTCGTGCTGCAGAGGCCGCGGAGTGCAGTGCTAACCCCCTTGCGCCACCAGGGAGGCCCTATAATAGGTTCTTGCTACCTGTGTGTATTATTTTCCTAAACATCACGCCGTGTGGCTCTGTGCGAGGGGGTCGTGTAGCTGTGTTGTCCTGTGTAGGGTCGTGTAGCTGTGTAGGAAGGATTTCAGCAACGTCTCATGCAGCCTTCACCCGCGTCGTGGACCTGCTCCAACGCCTTCTTCTCTCTCCGTTCCAGGTGCTGTTTAACCAGTTCAAATACTTTTTCAACCTCTATTTCCTACTTCTCGCCTGCTCCCAGTTTGTTCCGGAGATGAGACTCGGGGCGCTGTACACCTACTGGGTCCCCCTGGTGAGTAATGGGTGGGTGGGTCCATGCATCAGAAGGTCGGGGCAGATGCTCTGTCCCTCTCACCCAAGCATCTGGGCTGGGGCGTCATGGCCTGTGAAGGGAGAGCACGCCCTCAAGCCAGCACTTCGAAAACTCCTGAGTTGTGAATGTTGAAGCTGCAGCTCCTCTACCCCTGGGATCAACCTGGGGTCACCGGCCATGCCCTCGTCCTGCGGGTCAGCTGCTCGGCCCTCCCTGGTCCGTGGATGCTATTATGCATCGCCCGGGTCTGGGCTCGGGGCAGTGAGGAGACAGAGCCTTTGTGCTCGTGCCTGTGTCGTTTGAATTGTTCTCTGAGGTGGCGTTTTTGCTTTTCTCTGTGGAGTGTTGCACAGTCGGTCACAGATCATGTGCTGCGGTATGTCCAGGGGCGACCGCTGGCCAGAAGCCCCTGCGCTCTGCCCCTCTCCTCCTTGTCCTTCTCCCTTCCCTTTCCCACGTGGTGGCCGAGTACCTGCTGCATGCCAGGCGCGGCCTGGAGATGCCGCCTTCCTCTGACCGGGACCACCGCCTCCTAGGGCCGCAGGATGGAGGGGCGGGAGAGGCCCCGTCTCTGTTCTCCAGGCCTTTCAGAAAACAGGGAGATGGTCCTCTGCCCACATCCACGTGAACCTACGAGAGAGGTGTACTGTGGACAACCAGGGCCGGGCAGCTCAGAGGGGGATGCGCTCACGTGTCACCATGGCAACACGGGAGCATCTGACGTTGGCAGAGTCTGGCCAAGAGACTTCCTGTTCCTGTTGAGCATATTGAGCACTTTGAGAGCAGAGATAACTTCCTGACCCGTGTGAGAGAAAAGGAGCAGGAAAAAAAGGAAGCCGAAGAGAAAGGTTCTTGGGTTCAGCGGGAGCCGAGCCCGCTCCACCCAGAGAAGCTCACGGTGAGAACCCCAGGAGAGGAGTCTGAGCTGCTGGAACCCTGTGAATTCGTGGTGCGAGAGGTGGGGAAAAGTAAAAGCCCTCTGGACTGAAAAAAGAAATGTCTGCGCCTGGGGAGCTGATGTTCAGAGAGACAGTCAGCGCCTTAGTAAAACCTTTTCAAATCGTGAAAAGTGGTCTGAAGGTTCTCGGGACAGACGGGGTGTCCAGACACATGTAGCGTTTGTTCAGTGGATGGAGGAGGGGTTGGAGATGTAGATGAGCCAGGGTGGCTTTTGAGGAGGTGACGGGCAGGAGTGTAGCAGGGCAGGAGCCGCCAGGTGCAGGCACTAGTGATGCAAAGGTCCTGTGGTCGGCAGCTGCGTAGAACATTAGAAGAGCAGAGAGAAGCCCAGTGTGACTGGGGCGTGGAGAGGGCAAAACTGATGTCTCTTCTCCAGAGACATTCTGGAATATAACTGTTGCTTGTTTCTCCTGATCGGTGCCAGGTGGGAGATGATAAGGCTTTAAGGCACAGCTGGGTGAGCCATGGATGGGTGTCGCAGCCCCTGTCAGACAAGCCATGCCTGCACCTCACTCTGAGAACGGGATTCATTTCTTCCATTCGGGACGTGAGAATAGTTCTTTTCTGCTCTGAGTCCACCGTCGTCCAGCCTCTCCCTCTCTGAAGACAGACATTCCTGTCTGTCCAAGCGGCTCTGGGAGGAGACATCAGCCACACCTGGCATAAATTAGCCAGGATGTGGTCAGAGGCGAGGGCTGGGTTCCTCCTGTCTGAGAAGCAGCCTGGAGGGCAGGCCGTGCTGGAGCTTCCGTGGGCCGGAGGCAGCACCACAGGGCAGGGAAAAGGCCTCCTTCCCTGATAAATGAGAACACACAGCACAGGGCACGCGGCACTTGCTTGGGGTCCACTAGGAGATGCCGCTTTTCCATCTTTTGGAGGCTCTGTGGGGCTGAGCTAGAAGCGGGTCCAGCCAGACTCTGCGACACTGCCGGGAGTCAGGAGCGGAGGTCGCTCCTTCGGCGTGGATGGGGTTGGGGCAGGGGTGTGTGGATCCTAGTTTTCCAGACATGAAAAAAAAAAAAAGTTGCAGGATGACATGGACAAAATGCTTCTATTTTTATGACCTCCCTCCCTCCCCTCCCAACAGTGATGTCTCGTGTGTAGCTGTGTGGAAGCCTGGGAGGCTCCTCGCTGCGGCCAGTGGTGATCCTGGAGCTGGCCATTGCCTTTTATTCTTTCAAGGATTTTTTTTTAAAGATTTATTTATTTATGCATATAAGAGCTGCAGTGTAGGCCAGAGGTGCAGGGGGTGAGAGGATTCACCAGAGACAGAGTAGGGAGCAGAACAGGTGGGTCTACTGAAATCCACTGCTGAGGAGAGCAGCGGGGAGACAGGAGAGGTCTGCCGGGCCATGTGGGTCGGCTCCCTGGCCAGGGATTGAACTCATGCTGCAGTGCCTGCCCATAGCTTCATAGTGCTGACACTAACCCCTGCACCACCAGGGAGGCCCTCTTTCAGGGATTTTTGAGATTATTGTGCATGTGTTTCTATTGTGAGTCCCCGTTTGCTCTTCTGCAATTTGGAGAGTTACAGGAAAGGAGATGGAGCAGATGTGTGTCTGGATGTTTGCTCCAGCCCCGCTGTGCTAGCTGACCTGTCTCAGATCTCGTCTGAAGTCTCTCAGCCCTGGTGGGTCTCGCCTGTGGACACAGGAGATGTGCACACGTCATTGTTAAACTGCTTTGTGACTTTTCCTCTCATTAGTCTGCCTCATGCGCCTTTGATTGCTAGCCTAGAAGACCACAGCGGGGTACAGGAGGGGTTCCTGTGGACCCTGGTAATATGGAGACCAGATAATCTAGACACCAAATAATCTAAGATCAAATAATCTAGATTTTTGTTTTTGGGGTATAATCTGTGGTGGTGTACTGTTGGGGTGTAGGTTGGAGACAGGGGTGAGAGAATTCACTAGAGACTGGAGAACGAAAAGGCGGTATGCATGATGTGTGTGCATGTGTGTGTATATATGTGCATGTGTGGGGGCAGATAGGTTTGCTTGGGGGGAGTGTTTCTGTCTTCATATTTGTTACATTGATAACATCCTTTTTCAGCAGGCTCCCTGGCAGCAGGGAGGCCTCCCTCTCCTGTCTTTGCACACACACTTTCCAGTAACATCCACGCATTTAGCTGGGCCCACACAGAGGGAAACAGAAACAGGGACATTTGAAAACAAAAACAAAAGCAAACAGCAACAAAACCCTCTTCTCTGGCCCAGAGCAACCAAACAGCAGCCTGAGAAGGGGCCGGGGTGCTGCCACCAACCTGCGTCTTCATGCTTCTCTTCTGGAACCTGCCAGCTTTCCTTTAACCTCGGCGTGCCCTTATCTCTGATTGGAAACAGGAGCAAACCTTTGATTCTAAGTGTCCAGGCCTGGGGAGGACTCCACAAAGCAGCCCCTCCTCTGGCTGGATTTACAGAAGAGATTTAAAGTCTTTCACATCACGATTGATATATATCAGCGGGCGAAGAGTATGAACATGAAATCCTCAAAGAATCATTACCGCCAACCTCCAGGCCCTTAGTTCTCTGTATTTTTTTAAAAAATGACTTTTCAAGGGGGCCTTAGAAGAAGGGATGACAAGGGTATTTTGTAAGAAAAATGACTGAGCAGTCTTGCCTTTATTGATACAAGAAGAAAACTCTAGATAGAAATAGCTTCTGGGTGTGGGCGACAGGCAGTGCCCCCAGATTCTAGCGGGGATATCTGACCTGGGAAGGTCAGGGCAGGTTCATGTTTGAATGCGAGCCCTTCACATGTTATCTTTATAAAAATGGAGAATGTTACAGATAAGGAAGTCCCCTTCCACTCCCCACCCCAGCCCTGTTCCTCCCCACCCCGGATGCTCCCCACCCTATCCTACGCCTCCCTTTTCTTCCAGAGGTAGCTAACCAGTAGCTAAGGAAGCTGGGAGGCGCCCACAGTGTGTTGCTCACAGGAAGGTTACTATGCAAATAGCTGTATCTCTGTCTCTCTCTTTTTAAATTTTTATTTATTTATGCATACAGGAACGGGGTACAGGCCAGAGGTGCGGCGGTGGGGGTGAGAGGATTCACCAGAGACAGAGTGGGGAACAGAACAGGCAGATTGACCAAAGTACACTGCTGAGGGGAGCGGCAGGTGAGGCAGGAGAGGTCTGCCATGCTGTGTGGGTAGCTCCCGGGCTGGCCCGGGATCAAATTCTTGTTGCGGAGGCTGCGGACAGCCTCACAGTGCTGTGCTTACCCCCTTGCGCTGCAAAGGAGGCCCTGTCTCTCTCTTTTAAGCTGTCTCTTGTTGCTCTCTCTTCCTGGCTCCACGCTCCTGGGTTCCCCTAGTTGCAGAATTGGGTGGCAGTTAAGAGTGAAGACTCAAGAGCCCAGTTTCCTGCTTCCAAATTCCCACTTGTCTCTTGGAATTTTTTCACTCAACCCCTGTGTGCCTCAGTTTCCTTATCTGCACAGGGGCATCTCAGTAACAACAGTGGCCCTCTGAGAGGTGTGGGGAGATGGACGTGCACTCAGGGTGTAAAGCCCTTCAGATAGCACCCCATGCTGTGTTAGGGGCCACCGTCCCTCGCCACCGCCAGCGCATAGACCATCGGGGTGTTTGATTTTGACTCTTAGGGGGCCTGCAGTGATGGTGCACAGGGATGTCCTGTATGTGTGTGTCCCAGAGGCTTGGGGAAGCCTGGGGTTTGCCATGATTTGCAGGGCCTGCCTTACAAGCTCCCTTGTGGCCTCTGGCAAAAGCAGAGGACGGTGGGGCTCTGCAGGGCTCACCCCTTTCCACCCCCCTCTGCAGGGCTTCGTGCTGGCCGTCACCATCATCCGCGAGGCCGTGGAGGAGATCCGATGCTACGTGCGGGACAAGGAAGTCAACTCGCAGGTCTACAGCCGGCTCACAGCAAGAGGTCAGGCTCGGGCGGCCGGGCGGCCACGGGGTTGCGGCTCCGCCTTGGGCTGCTGACAGTCAGGGAGCAGAGTTCAAGGCCCTGGGACAGCGGCTGTGCAGGCACCACGTGGCCGGGCAGTCACTCACTTGTCAGTTCCAGGGAGACCCACTTGAGCCGGGGCAGGGTCGCCAGGGCGGACTCTCCGGTCCCGGGTCCCCAGCTGCATTCCTAGGCGTCCTTGGTCCTCCGGGAGCTGGGCTTGTCAGATGCTTTGCTCATCATCAACCTGCAATTGAGTTCTGTGCCTTTAGCTCCTGGGTGGCTCGTCCCTTTGCCAGACAGGCAGAGGCGGATGGAGGCCCCCTCTGTTCAGGCGGAGGCTTCATCTCTGTCCTGAAAGGGAGCCCAGCTGAAGAGCTAGTCTTTCCACGTGACCAAGCTGAGTGTTTTTTGGCTTTAGTTTTGGGGGGAAAAGTACCAGATTGACATAAATACTACGTTCCTCCAGATTTCTTTGAAGGCATGTTATAAATTCAGGTAACTGAAGAATGGAGAGCCTCTAGCTTAGCTCAAAGCTTACCTTTAGTCACGAAGCTCCTTGAAAGGAGTTTTTCAATGGCAGAATTTGAGAAACCCACCCAGGACCCCATCCGAGCAGCCACGAAACCCCTGGCCGGTGTAACATGTGTCTCTGACTACTAATTCTGCACAGTTACGACCAGAAAGGAGAGAGTGGCCCCAGTTCAGAGACTACAGATCCCATTCAGAATTCAGATGGGACAGGCTGAGGGGATAACAGTGGTGCCTGCCGGAGATGGAGGCTTGTGGAAGAGGCAGACGGCCGGTGGCACCCGGGCCATGGTAGCGAGTGCTTATGGAAGCCCTTATGGTTGCTGGGCTTTGCATGGGATTTTCCTTCAGAGGAGTATGTTTGGGCTCCAAAGAGAAAGCAGTTGACATTTAAATAAATTCCTGGAGGGGGGGGCATGAAAATATTTTGTTGTGGTGCATTTGAATAGGTCTTCTTAGTTGGTGGTCTTATGGGAGGGGGCGGGATTTAGAGTTGGCATGGAAATGCTTTATTATTGCTAAACTACTGTATTTAGCACATTTTGCTGCCCGGGTGAAAAAACCCAGGCTAATCTTTGCAAAGGCAGGTGGTCTGTGCTTTCCACGTGGGTAATCAGAAGACCCCGCTGGAGGGTGTTGTTTTTGTGGCTTGTGTATATTAAATCCCCCACTGATAACATATTCTTACGAAAACATTTCCAATGCTAGGCAACCGACAAAAGCCCCGTGGAGGGGTGCAGAGGGTCTATTGAGGGTGTGGGAGGAGGGGCCTGGCCTCATTCATCCCGCTGCTCTCGCTCTGCCCTGTCTTTGGGGCTTTTCATATTGCGATTGCTTTTCCCCTGAGTGGTTTTCCTGCCCTCCCCCACAGCCTTCCTTTCCAGCTCCTGCTTTAACTTCTCGCAGTTTTTGAAAAGAGCCTTAGGAGAATGGGCAGATGGCTCGAGCATTAAAAACGTGTCTCCCTTTGTCGGTGGCCTTTGTGGCCGTGGTTTCGGGTGTCATGCCAGTGCCCAGCCGTGAAAGGCAGGCCAGGGTTCTAAAGGTGAATCTGGCCCCCACCCTCTCCCCTAAACACTGAAGAAACTTTCGGCTTTGAAAGTGATGGAGGTGAGTTTAGTTATTTGATAGACTTCTGGGAGGCAGGGCCCGAGGAACAAGCCCAAAGTGGGAGATTTCAGTGAGAAGGAAGGGAAAAAAAAAGGTTTTTTTGGACCTTACTAATTAATGACATAAGACTATTCTAGAGTGAATCTTTTCCCCAGGATCTTTCTTTATTAAGTTCAAAATCAAAATGAGACAAATATTCATTCACGCAGGAATGAATGAAATCTTAATGTACATCCAACACTATTTCTGGAGTTAAAAAAATGCTCAGAACGCAAGACATCAGTTGATTCCCAGGCATGATATTTGGCTACATTCAGCATCATTTCCTGATTAATCGTGTCAGTACTTGTATGAATACAGTTTTTAAAAGTTTGATAATAATTTCTAATTAGCAAACAGTTACAGAATCAGTGGAAACCTCCTCTGTCTCTCTCACTCAGATTCCTCAAGTGTCAGTGCTTTGCCAAGCTTGCTTTTTAATATTCTCTCTTAACCACGAAACGGGATTTAGTTCTGAGCTTTCCTGCTACTCCTCAGTAACCTCATTCACCTTTAAGTCCTGGTAGGACATTTCTCCTAACATGACCCCGCCCTGATCCACAGCAGGAGTTCAGCAATGTGCAACAGTGCATTACTTGTAATCTAAACCACGTCCTGACCCAGACTTGAACACTTATCTCTAAAGTCCTAGTGTGACCTTTCTGTCCCTGGCCCAGACATCGTCCAGTGGACGCCTGCACTTGGCTGTCCTTTGCCCAGGGCCTCTGCTCCCCTAGCACGGCCCCTGGGTTTTCTGTGTCTTCCAGTGACATTGACATTTTTGAGAAGCCTAGGCCAGTTTTAGCTTTGTCCCTCAGTTGTGTCTGAGGTCTCAGAATTAGCTTCACGATACGTGTTTTTAGTAGGAGTTAATTCAAGGATGCCAGTGATAGCGGGTCCTGTTGGGAGCTACCTAGGGCTCAGAGGCTTCTGTTAATCACAATGAAAAAAAATGGCAAACCTTGGGAAAAAAAGAATTGAATTTTAAACAATTGAATTAAAAGCCCTAATAATGAGGAACTCACTCCTGGGAAGAAAAGTGGATGACAGGTTTCCCTTTTTATTAAATTGCTGTTTCCAACATTTTAGATCATTTTATTTCATTCAAGGTTTATCTAAGACAATATACCAGTTGGATTAATTTTTCACAAAATTTTCAGGGTTTAATAAGTACATGTTGTATTTTATAATGAAATGAGCCACACAAAAATGACCCTCTGTTCATTGTTTTGAGTGTATTTGAGACGGTCATGTCCTGGTCTGTGATAGGTTTCTGTATTACAGGATAAACATGAGGGACTAGGGCTTCAGGGACTTCACAGTCCAGCAAGATATCTCTGTGTGTGAATAGAGACATTTTTTTTTTAGATTTATTTATGCATATAAGAGTTGGGGTGTAGGCTAGAGGCATGTGGGGGGTGAGAGGATTCACCAGAGACAGAGTGGGGAGCAAAACAGGCAGATCTACTGAAATACACTGCTGAGGGAGCAGCGGGCAAGACAGGAGAGGTCTGCTGCACCATGTGGGTAGCTCCCTAGCTGGGAATCAAACTCCTGCTGCAGTGGCTGTCGATTGCTTCCTAGTGCTGAGACTTAACCCCTTGCGCCACCAGGGAGGCTCTGAATAGACAATTTAAAAAGGTGACCGGACTTTGCCCTATAATGGTGTGAACACGAGGGTCCTTATTGCCAGTGTCCCTTTTCACAGCCACTGCTTTCCTGGCTCTGAGTTTGCCCTGCCTGGGTTCCAAGTCTTGCTTCCACCTCCTCCCTGCTGTGTGGGCAGACCCTTATCCTGTCAGTAAGCTGGGGATAATAATAGTGCCTCCCTAAGAAAGTTGCTGTAAATGTAACTCTTGTATGGGAAGAACTCAGGGTGGTACGTGGGATTCAGTGTGCTCAGGGAAGGCCTTGCAGTGGGGGTTCATTAAGAGTTGGGGTTAGGGGAGCCCCTCAGAGGAGCTAATGATATCTCCCCAGAAGAGGTGGCCTTTATTCTCAGTCTACATGGTTTGTGGTGCCCAGTGCAGAACGAACATGCAGGTCTCTGTTCAAAATCAAGATTGTCAAGGTTGCAAAGGTGAAACCAAGTATAGGAGCCTTTTGCACTCGGGGTTCTGTGCCAGCTTCCAGGTCATGTGCCCATGAGGAAGCCCTGGTGAATGGTTCTCCAAGGGCCGGAGGTCTCAGTGGCTGGGGTGGTGGGGTACAGACCTCAGTTCAGGCTCTATCTTGTTCTTCCCAAGTAGGCCGTGTTTCCTGACCTCCCCCTCCTGGGAGAACAGAAGAACAGACCACATAGGCCAGTGACGCTCTGGGAAGGAGTGATTCTGTGACCAGGGAGTCTGTACCTGGGAGGCGGCTTGGGAGAAGTTTGGAAAATGCTGTCAAATTGAGACACACAGGCCCTCCCCGGTGGCGCAGTGGGTTGAGCGCATCGCTGTGAAGCTGTCCACAGCCTCTGCAGCACCGGTTTGATTCCCAGCCTGCCAGGGAGATTCCCACATGGTGCAGCAGACCTCTCCTGCCTCGCCCGCTGCTCCCCTCAGCAGTGTACTTTGGTCCTTCTGCCTGTTCTGCTCCCTGCTCTGTCTCTGGTAAATTCTCTCACCCACCTCCCCGCACCTCTGGCCTGTACCCCAGTGCTTGTATAAATAAATAAATCTTAAAAAAAAAAATTGAGGTGTGGAAGGGAAAGCAGACAGATTTCTGTCCAGAAGTCAGTCAGGTACTAGACTGGGCCTAGGGTATAGGATTTTGAGCAGCCTTGCGGAGGTAGCTTTTACAGATGGGGAGTTGGGGTCCACAGGGAGGTCCCATGTCGCCATGAGGGAGCAGGGGGAGCCAGCCCAGGTTGTGAACCTGCTCCGTGCCCAGATCCGAGCCCTCTGGAGAGGGTGGTGCGAGGATGGCTGCAGCCTCAGCCTTCATGGGCTTGCCAAGGGGGGGCGTCTGCAACTTCACATTTCTGTGTCCAGGGGAGCCCGTCAGTCCCTCCTCGTTGTAGGATGGATGGACTGTTGCAGACCACATAGAAGTCATGCTTTCGGATAAATGCGCTTCCCCTTTCCTCCTACTTGAAATCCACATTGAAACATGATGAGAGTTTCTTAAGCCTCAGTGAGCTTTATGGCTTGAATTATAGCGTCTCTTTCCAAATGACCAGCGTTCAACAGCTTTGGAAATACTAACCCATGAAGGGAGGATCTGAAGTGCCAGCACCTCCAGCAGGATGTAATGTTGTTCCTTGAAATATTCAGTTTGGGTCAGAAGGAATAGTTAGTAAAGGAATTTTTTTC